ATGGGGTTTGGAGTGTTGCATATACAGGGAGTCCCCGGGTTAAGAACAACCGGTTTATGGATGATCCATAGTTAAGAACGGAGCCTATTGGAGCAGAATTTGAGTTAAATTCACAATGGTTTGAGTTAAATACACAATGGTTTGAGTTCATTACATAATACTACTTATACAGTATTATACAATAATACTGTTCTGGCTTACATACAAATTCGACTTAAGGATAGACCTTGGGAACAAAGCTCGTTCTTAAACTGGGGACTACCTGTAGTGTCAGTTGGACTTCTAGGTTAATATGGGACAGTCAGTATTGCCATTTCCCTCCCCTACTTACTGTGTCCTTATTAAAAAGGGAACAGTCTAAAAATATTTTTATGTGAGAGTTTCAGTGTGCATATAATAAATTAAATGAATGAATATATTATACTGTAGGTATTTGCACGGCGTGGTTTGATTAAAATTGATGAACTAAAGCAAATGGAGATTATGAGTTCATCACCTCTGAGTACAGAAACAAAGAAGAAATTCAAAGAAGCGACTGTGAAGGTATATATTTTTCATAAAGATTACTATATTTAAAAACAAATAATATAATAATCATGCATTTCTTCACTTTGGGCCAGATGGCAGTGATGATTTTTAAAAGAACAGCATTTGAACCAAGAAGGCGACCAAAAGGAGTTCTGAGACCAAGAATAAAAGCTAATCTGAAAGATGCACAGCATGTAAGTTTTAGGAATGTTGGCTTGTCCTGGCCAGGAATGGGAGCTCATGAAGGTGGCTTTCCTTCATATCTTATGTCTGTCAGTCTACTTAGAAATAAATCACTTTGAGCGAGACTTATTCTCAGGTGAGTAGATACAAGATTGCAGCATTAGAATACTTGTTTTGAAAAGATTTTGAGTTCAACTGAGGCTTTATATCATTTAATTAAGTTAGTGCTTCCAGAGTCTGTCTCTTCTTGAAAAATAGAGCTCTTTAAAAAGAGATCTTTGCATTGGAACCTATCACTCCATTCTGTCAGGTCCTGTTTTTTTGTGCTGCCTGAAATTGCCAATAAGTACTAAAATGTTTGAAACCGCAATCTAATGTGTAGATTTCTCTGGGGAATCTGGCTTAGAAGGCTCTGTCTCCAGAAAGAAACTACTGAGAACTCAAAGTTGCTGCCAGTGCCTGGCCACTGCAGCTTACTGGCCTTCTGAATCTTACTTATTTGCCTCTCTCACTGATATAAAGGTCAGAGTCATGACCTTTAATAATTCAGTGACACAGTCCTAGTTACACATATACATACTATTTGCAGCATGTTTTATCTTTCCCTCCCAGTAATCCCTTTTTTAAGAATCATGCTTTATAACATTTTGCTTCATATGTTTATGAAAAAAGGCAGCCAAGTTTCACTTCACACTGAATTCTACAATATAACACAGAGTATCATTCAGAAGTCATGGTAACTCACTGTTTTATAGGAACTTATTACTATAATTCAATTTGTTTGAAATATAACATGATCCTTGATATTTTTATTTTATTTCAGCTGCCTTGGCCTCGTACCATCACAGAACGGTTGCTGATGGAAATATTTGATTGCAATTCCTCACTTTTTTTTGCCATTATGGAAGCTCTATTTGATAAAAACAGACGGACCCTGATCCCTGGACCTCCTGTTCCTGATGAAGTGGAAGTGCGTGATATTATTTCAGAACTCTGTTTTGCAGGCGTGGATATTCTTGATGGTAATTGAATATATATGATAGAATGACAGAAAAAAAACCCAAATTCAGTGCTCTATACAGAATTAGCATAGGACAGCTTTTCCCAATCTGGCCACTTTCCAGATGTGTGGACTTCAGTTTCCAGGGTTCTTAGCAGTATGTTGGCTTGGGAATTGAAGACCATATATCTAGGGAAAACAGACTGAAGAAGGCTGCTGTAGAGACTGAGTAGTATGATGAAAAGTAACATGATAAAAACACAAGTGCTTTAATTTTAATTTACAAAAATAGCAGATAATTCTGTGCATATATAAGTACATTATTAATACAAGGGAATTCTACTCCACTAAAACTGATCATAAAATGGAATAATCTCTGAAGTCATTAAAATGACAGAGTGTGGTTAAGTGGGACATCAGTTGCACTCTCATCAACTACAGGTTGAAGTCTGGTCTGTAATTAAGAAGTAAGTTGTATACTTGGTTATCAGTAAGTTTTTGGCCCAGTTTAAGCTGCTGATTTTAACCTTCAAAAGCCTATTTGACTTGGCACCTTTGTTCTTGTAGGATTGTCTCTTATAGCCAGAATTAGTCTGCCCTATGCATTCATCCTGAGAAGGTTGCTCCAAGCTCCCAATCCACAAAAGATAAAAGGATTGGGTGCCCAATAGTGTACCTTTTTGATGGTGGCTCCCACATTATGGAATACCTTATGCTCTGAGAGGCAAGCCTCCATCTTGCTTGCATTTCCCAAAGCTGTTAAGTCTATTCTGTTATGATATGACTGTTCTGCAGATGTATTTGTTACAGTATTCTATTCTGTTTTTGTTTCTTCTAGGCAAACTGTCTTCAGTTGTTTAAATAGGGTGGTATAGAAATGTTGCTTCTAAATAAATACATACATACATACATACATACAAGCTCCAAAGGGTTTGTCAAGAGAAAAGCAGAGATTCAAAAGTCCTGATAAGTAAAGCAGATGGAATTCTGTTTACTTAAACCATTGCCCCTATATCCTGTTTTTTTTTTTTTTCCAGCAGGAGTATTTTCCTTTTATTTTATTTTTTTAAACGATAAAGCTGAAGCTTAGCCATTTTTTACTAGCTATTGATAGAGTTCAGATCTCTTTAGAAGTAGGCATCTGGTTTCTTGATGTATGACTAAACTGTGTTGTTCTGCTCCTTGATACGGAACAAAATGTTTTCATAGATAAAGAGCTCATCTAAACCTGAGCTAAACTTTTAAAACAGTTGTTTTAATGTATTGTTTGCCTTGAGTAGGGAGGAAAATATGTCAGCCTAAATCATGCTGCCCCATGCAGCCTATCTTTACTGTGTCTCAGTAATGAAGCTGAACAGAGTTGCTTTTCTCCCATAATGTAACATTGAATAGTTTCAGGGCAGGGATTGGTGAATTTTCCTTCCCATCTTTGGATAGCTACTCGGAGAAAAACCAACTGCCAGTCTTTCTCCAAAATGCATGGTGGGATTGGGCTGGGAGATTCTGGGCTCTGTCTGCCCTCTTCATCCCATGCCTTTCTTAGGGTTTAGGCAGCTGGAATGTTTCTGAGGGTTTTACTGGTTAGGAATAATTTCTATTTATGCATTTACTGCCATGGGAATATCAGTCTCTCTACTGCCCAAAATATGGAAGGTTGAGAGATCGATATTCTATGGTAGACAAGTCAGAAGTAGTAGTAGTTGTGAAAGGATAAAAAATAATTTTTGAGGCACCTAACATTTAAATAAGTGTTGCCTACTAGAATTCTGGGGAGGCTGAAACCTAACTTCCACCTCTGTGGGAGAGGAAAAAAAGAGTCAAAATCAAATCAGACCTGAAATATACCCTTTGGCTTCCAACTACTGCTTTACAGAAGAATGAGAAGGTGCTTATTGGGAAAATGATCTCATTGTCCAAGTCGAGCCTTGTCCTCAAGCCTGTTAGCAAGAACCAGTTTACAGTACAACCTAGAAGATATTCACCTTGGCAGAAGTCCTACAGATTTATCTTTCAGGACTGGCTGCTACAGTGTTGAACAAGTCTTCCTTGGTATGTGTGGGGTCTTAGAGATGAAGCTGCTAAGCCCCTATAATTAATGAGAAATTAGGCCCAGCAATGGGCTTTTTGTGAACTACTATGAAACCGTTTTAATAGCCATGGAAGTTCCATTTATTTCATTGATGGCACTCTAAGATTCATTGGACTTAAGATGTACCATTTCACCAGTTCATAGATCTGCCTGGGTTAGAATAAAGATTGATACCTCCTGAGATCTAGTTTCCCTTTTTTCAAGAGACCAGTAGAATCCTTCCCTCCTCAAGTTGATCTTTAAGTTGCTATGCCAATTCTGGGGCTTCTGTGTGTTTTTTTCCCCCTATGCTGCTTATACGTTTGCGGATAACTTGGGCATCTTAGGCCTAAAACATGCAGGAAGAACTTAGCTAGCAAACAACTAAGCTGGGAAGGACCTCCACTGATATGCTTGTGAGCTCACTCCTTATCCGACAAGCACTTTTCTCTGTCCACCAACATGCATTTGGCCTTCTGTGAGGTAGATATTCCCATTAACCCCTAAGAATTAATAGACTGTGCAAGCCAGGTGTCCAGTCTTTTGTACCCAAAGCTAAAGTGACCATGTGGGGCAGTGCTTGGCAACTGCATGGGGAGGGGGATTCCTGCAGCAGGTTTGTCAAGTCAAGGAATTGACCAGATAATAAATAATATATAGTATTTAAAAAGGTTTATGGCTTTTTTTTTAAGGTGGTGGCGTCAATGTACCAAGTAACACTTCTGAAATTTCTTCAGCAATAACTACATCACCATTTATGCAGCAGATATTAGCAGGTATATACATTTTTAATTTTACAGTGCTTAATTAAAATGATGAAATGTTTATGCAAGACAGTGCTTTATAAGACAAGTCACAATAATGATAGTTTTACTACAGATAAAGATGTTTTGACACCTGTTAAATTAACTTCTACTAACCCCCTTTTTAAAAGAAAATTAACGAGTTAATTTGACAATTTAGATGGCCATATATTTCTTAACTTGCTTGTGGTGAGCAGGTCAGTAGAAGCAAAGCTAGTAATTTGGAGCATAGGTGCTGAATTTGGCTCATGGTAGGGCAAATCTCTCTTTTCCTAAATGCCTTGTGCCCAGCTTGTAGCTTAAGCCTCTTTTGACAACAGTAAATATGGGTTGAATTACTTGGGTTATACTGCACTCTTGAGTGTATATTGAAACAGTAATACAAAAGTGTTACACTTACCCCTTTGTATGTCCTGCTGACATAGAGAAGAGTAGTTCAAGAATCAACAGTCAAGATTTGAAGGATCAAAATGCATTCCATGAGTTAAATACATCTATAGCAGCATAGAAACTAACAAAATCGGAACAGTAATATCTAGTTCCAGTAATATCCAGTGCAAATGAAACTAAGGTCAGAAACTAAGAGCATAGATGTTAGTCATTTTGAAGCTGTATTTGCGCATCTTGCTAGCCCAAGGTTAACTAAACTATGTTCAGTGAATCAACTCTGTTATTCATGCAACATACTTGTAGAGGAGCATAGAAATAACCTTGGGAGAAGTATATAGTGAGTGTTAGTAAAATATGAGTTTAGCCTAGTAAAGTTAGTAAAGTAAAGTTTAGCCTAGTTAGTAAAATATGAGTTTAGCTTAGAAAAACAAAACCATGAGAAAGAGACATAAGATTACTCCGCCTTGACTCTCTTTGTTAGAAGAGGGAGGGAAAGGGAAACCTGGCCAGGATTTCAAGATACTATTATTATACAGGTAGTCCTCAGCTTATGTCCATTCGTTCACTGACTGTTCAATGTTATGGCTGTGCTGAAAAAATACACATATGACCAGTCCTCAAAGTTCTGGCCATCACAGCACCACCACAGTCATGTGATCACGATCCAGGCACTTGGGTGCCCAGCTCGCGATCATGATGTCTCAGGGTGCCGTGGTCATGTAATTGCCATTTGCAACCTTCCTTGCAGGCTTCCCACAAGCAAACTCAATGGGGAAGCTAGCAGGGAAGTTTGCAAGTCACTCTGGTAAGTTGTCCCCGCTTTTTCTCCTGTCTGCAATATACCCCTGGTCCATGCACAGCTTCTGCTGGCCCTCCCTCAGCCTCCAGCACGGACTATGCCAGCTCTCCTGGCCTTCCGCTGCTCATGTGCAATTTGTGCCAGCCCTTCCAGGCTGCCCCCAGCCTCCTGCAACTCCTTTGTGGCCTGCACTGGCCATCCCAGGCCCTCTCCTGGCCTCCTACAACTAGTGCATGGCCTGCGCCAGCCCTCCCAGGCCCTCCTTGGCTTCCTCCATCCCCTGTGGCACTCCCACACTCCCGCCTCTTCCTGCTTAACAACCTACACATCTTGGGGTTATGACAGCAACCGGGACTG